CTCCTAATGAGATTAGGAGAAAGCTGATCTAATCTGCAGATAAGATAAGGGTTTATCCTTATCACCTGAAGAGAAGGCTGATCCAAATATGATTTGGATAAGCAGCTCCTAATGGGATTAGGAGCTGATCCTTTAGATCAACAAAAGAAGGAGGGGGCGGCAGCCTTTAGGGAACATCCAATCAGATTTTCTTCAGTGCTGAAATCACAAGAAGAGAGAATTCTGCACCCTGCGAATACTCTCTTGCCGCCTCCCTGTTCTTGCTGCCCTGTTTGCCAGTTCGATCTCCAGTTGTGGGAGAAGTCAAGATTGGATCTTAACATCGGTTCTTTGAGAAAGAATTGAAAGGAAGCTGTGCTCACGTACCATCTTGCTGATCCTTGCGAATGACAGAGTTCTTGGAGAAGAACACTGCTGATTCTGCTCCATCCTGCACGGCGCCATCTTCAGTGGGAGCAGTTTTTGGATCCTTCCTTGGGCGTGAACACCTTCGTTGGGAGATACTACTTCTCCGTATCAAGGTATAATCCTCTCCTACACCTTTTGGTTCAGATCTGGTTCAGTTTCGCCCCCTAATTCCGCAATCTTCGGGCGTCCATATGATGGATCTCTCATCCTTTCAACAGCCGCTTAGCAAGCCTACTCACACAGCTATTGAGGAAGGACTCTTTTACATGGACACCCGAAGCCCAACAGGCCTTTGAAGCCTTGAAGAAGGCAGTATCCACACCCCCAATTCTGGCCCTTCCCAACTTCAATGATACCTTCGTGTTGGAATGTGACACGTCCAGGACAGGATTGGGAGTCGTACTGATGCAAAGGGGGCAACCCATCTCTTATTTCAGCAAGGCACTTTAGGCCCATGGCCAGGCCCAATCTACTTATATTAAGGAGCTCAAGGCCATTGTATTGGCGGTTCAGAAATGGCAGGACTACCTCCTGGGCCAGTGATTCATCATACGAACTGATCAAGGAAGTCTCAAGTACTTGTTAGAACAGAGGGTTCACACCACGGACCAGCAAAAATGGATCTCTAAATTGCTCGGCTATGATTACGCCATAGAACACAAACCTAGCCCGACAAACAAGGCGACAGATGCCCTCTCACGGGTGGCGGAAATGAACCAACTAGTAGTCTCCCAGCCCATGTACCCCCTCTTCAAGACCATTAGAAAGGAAGCTCGAGAATCAGAATTGCTAGAGCCATGGAGGATTAAATGCCAGCAGAGTCCCGTTAACACTAATGGATGTAAACTAGTGGGCCCAGATTTGTTTTTCAAAGGGTGGTTTGTAATCCTATCCACCTCAGCCCACATAACAGCCCTGCTCCAGCTCTTCCATGATTCAGCCCAAGGGGGACACTCAAGAGTCATGCGGACCTACAAGAGGCTCGCCTCTCACTATTATTGGGCCGGTATGAAGAAAAGGGTCCAGCAGTATGTGGCCTCTTGCTGTATTTGTCAGCAGCACAAATACAGTTCTCAAGCACCACCTGGCCTATTGCAGCCCCTAAAAATTCCAGAGCTGGTTTGGGAAGAAGCCTCTATGGAATTCATTACTGGGCTGCCGAAGTCACGGGGAAAGCCTGTCATCTTGGTCGTAGTCGACCGTCTGAGCAAATATGCCCATTTCTCAACACTGCCCCACCCCTAAACCGCTGCCATGGTGGCAAGCACATCTGTAAGAGAGGTTGCAAAACTCCATGGACCCCCTGGGCCATTGTTTTGGATCGAGATCCCACCTTTCTCAGTCAGTTCTGGAAGGAGTACTTTTGGCTACAGGGGACCGAGCTGAGTCAATCTACCAGCTACCACCCCAGTCCAACAGTCAAACGGAGGTGGTGAACAGGTGTTTGGAGACATATCTCCGGTGTTTCACTAGTGGAAAACCAAGGCAGTGGGCTGACTGGCTTCCTTGAGCCGAATACTACTATAATTCCACCTTTCAATCTACTGCTGGGATGACCCCCTTTAAGGCCCTCTATGGCTGTGATCCCCCAGCCATCCCACTTTATGAACCCGGATCCACTGTTGTGGCAACAATCGAAGCCCAACTGATGGTCCGCGATGACATCCTAAGGTTACTCCTGGATAATCTCCACAAGGCGCAGCAGAAGATGAAACAACACTATGACAGGAGGCACAGGTTCGTGGAATACCAAGTTGGGGACTTTGTTTACCTCAAGCTTCAGCCCTACAGGCAGGTCACGCTGGCCCATCATCCGTGGCCCAAGCTCGCCCCCAGATACTTCGGCCCATTCAAGATAGTGGAAATGATCGACACTCTCGCGTACTGCCTAGAACTGACAGCATCGTCCAGATTGCACCCCGTATTTCATGTGGTTATGCTCAAAAAGGCCATTGGATCTGAGGCCATTACCAGCCCCAGCCTCCCTGAATACAGAAGACGGTGAGCTCATCACTCAACCATCGCGCATCACTGACTTTCGATGGGTGAAGGTAGGAACGAAGGTTGTCCAACAAGCACTAGTTGAGTGAACAGGCTTACCCACAGCCGCGCCACCTGGGAGCCCTACTGGCAACTCAAGAACCAGTTCCCTGGTCTCGACCTCGAGGACAAGGTAGTACTGAAGGAGGGGGAGATGATGAGAACCCAGTAACGGCCCAATCAGAACCAGGCCCATTACAGACTTTCGCTGCTAGACCCAAGCCTCCCATCAAGCTGGTGTTTGGTCGTAAGAAGAGGAGCCAGGTCCATGCATCCGTTAACACTCAGGCCACATCAGCCAGTCTGATATCTGAGGACAACTATCCGTTCTGCCAGTTAGTTAGAATATTTGTACCGCCCACCATCTATATAAGGGGGCTACAACAGATAATGAAACATAAATAGTATTTGCCTTCAACTCTCCCTCTCTCTCTCTCTCTCTCTCATTTCAGGAGGTTGAACCCCTTGAACAGGTTCCTGAGATGAGCAGATCTCACCAAAAAATCATGAAAATATAAACATACATAATTCTCCATGCATAGCAAAAGAACCAAAGACATCATACCTTGCCAATTAAGTGGAGTGACGCAGGCCAACCTGAAGAGACTGCACCTTGTAAAGTAGGTTTTTCTTTGTTCTCTGATAATGCTGATATATATCTGCAACAAAGAGAAAAAGATGTTGAAAGAAACCACAATAACTACACAAGCACAATAAAGCATAAAATTACAAAAAAAAAAAAACCACAGGAGTGACATAATTTAACTAGAAGGAAATTAATTTATACTTTTCTAAGACATGTCTAAAACCTAAAGAATTACTAGAATCTAGATGTCTAGAATTAGCAATATCAACTCTTTAGAATTAATCTGGGTTTTTTTATCCAAACAACTCATCATGTACAGCATCATCTATCTCCTAAACCCACAATTTATACATGAAATATCTTAACTCATCATAAATGATGTTCTCAAACCTGGACCAAACCTACCAGTTGGACCATTCCAACCATGACCAAGCAGTTTTTACAGGGTTTTAGATACTCCTGTTTCCAAAATTTTCAAGACTGAGTTAAAAAAAATTGAGTTTTAAATTTAGTTTCTAGTTGTAGGTGTTTTAAGAATAAGGTATTAAGTATTCTAGATTTTTTTCAGTACAGGCAAAGTATACTTCTATTATTGAGTATAAATGGGAGAGACTCCCAATACAGCGAGTGACTGTACATCATATATGGAATCATAAAACTTCAAAAGTATTATAGTTACAAAATAATGAGTCGGCAGTTATGCTGAAGTGCTAGCCCAAGATATGATCTTTACAGTTACATTGCACCAAATTTCATCAATTTGAGAGGATTTGTTCTCAAAAACTCTGCAGTTCCTCTCCATCTAAATTGATCATAGGACACAAGCAGGTAGAAGGTGCCAGATGATTCTTCCATTGCTGTCCAGACCCTCAATAGTCCAGATTTCTAGAAAGTTATGAAATGTCTTGAGAAACTTACTATTATCAGTAAATCATTGTGGTTATTTATGGTAATTTTGGACTTACTATTTATAGCAATTCCAATAATTACAATTTATAGTAAAATTGTGATATGTACTATCCTTAGTAGTTTCGGGATTCTTTGCATTTAGTTTTAGTAGGATTAGGTAAGCAGAACTAGAGTTGTTACTTGAGTGTCCTTGTGTGTTACCTATGGGTTTGCCTTGGTCTTTTAGCAATTAAAAGTTGTTTTCAATTAGTGTTTGAGATCAAATTAGAGTCTGTAAAGGGACACCTGAGTTCTTATATCAAGTATATCAATAGAGTCATGATTTAAAAATGAAGAGTTGGTTGGGTCTCCTGCTGGTCGTAGTGGAGACTTGGGATCGAATCCCACCTGCACCTGGGTTGGGGGGGTTTATGGGTTGAGGGATGGGCTACCCCTGTTGTGTAGCCCTTCAGAAAATATCAAAAAAATAAAAAATAATAACAAAAAAAGAGTTGATCAGATGAAATAAAGTTTAATTTAGTCAAGCCTTGTTCTTGCAAGGAAATTTTCTCTTTTTTTCTCTTTCTCACCTGTTTCTTCTTCTAAGTGATCTATCTCTTTGCAGTTTATCCTAGCAGCAAGAGTTCTCTTTCTTCCTAATATCTTGCTCATTCTTTGGTGAATAGCAAGCTATCTATTTGCTTTTCCATCCCTATCCCAGAACACAGGTTGTACCTAACAAAGGGTACAAAGAAAGAAAGGACTTTCTACTGGGAAAGTGGCAACATCTGCTCCAAGCAGAAGTGTTGCTCAACCTCTACAGTCTCCACCTTATGCAGATTTTTTTAAGCTAAACTTTGATGGAAGCAGTAAAGGTAACCCTGGTCCATCAAGGATTGGTGGAGTTTTAAGGACAAAGGAAGGTTCTGCCATAGCGTTCTCAAGACCAATTGGGGTGGGGGACTCATTGCGTGCAGAAATTATGGCTTTGATGGAAGGTGTGAAAAGAGCTAAGGAGCCAAGTGTTAGCAAGCTGATCATTGAGGGAGATTCTAAGGTGGTAATAAATTGGTTAGGGAAGGAAGATGATGGATTATGGACATACATTAATGAACGAAGACACTTCGTGTGGCTAACTCAGGGTATGGATGTGAGAATGCAATGGGTCAAAAGATGTGCCAATTCATTTGCAGATGCACTTGCTAAACAAGGGGTGGGAAGAGATCAGTTACTTTGGGCTATATTGTAATGTTGTATCTTTTTGGGGGGAGTTAAGAGAGTTTACCTCCCCCCACCTTTGTACTAAAAATAAGACTCCAACTAATACCAATCAACACGCTGCCACGATCTGCCTTCCATATTGTCTTTCAGGATCTGCCTTAAGGATTCCGGAACGTCTGGCCACCACTATGTTTCATTTCTGAAGGAGCGACCCAAATTTTCCATATGGTCAGATGCTTTGTTTGCTTTTCTATAGAACTTCTCAATTTTAATCTCTTCAAACTGCCTTAGTAGCTTGCTTGTATCACTAGTCAATCTACAGAACACCCTTGCCTCTGATTTTTCCCAAGGCTTCAGCACACTGATATGGTGATTCATAAAGATAAAGAGATGATCTTTTATATTGCTAATTTTTTCATCCTTGCAATTCTTATTACCAAGTTTAGAGCTCATGATTTGAAACAGTTCTTGATTGTCTGCCACTTCAAAACTCAAGTATGAGTTCTTTTGAATCAAGGGAGAATGATATAGAACAAAATAAAGGAAAGAATCCATGGAGAAATAAATCAGTTTTCCAATTCCTATACAAATTTCAAAATCTTTGGTAATAGAGATACTGGTATTTTTGAGAAATGGTAAAGCATAATTTCAATAACAAAAGACAATAAACATGTACAACAAGCCATTGTACATAGGGGTATTCACAGCTGATGCTCAAACAATTCACATTCATTTTTTCTTTTCTATCACCACGTGGTTCATCTCGTGCCAGCTCATCACCTTCTTCAACCTTTCGACTCTCACTCCAGAGAGACACTTCATGTTCTGTCAACACCCACACTTCAGCAATCGTCAGCTCTACTACACGGAGATTGGAAGTAACAGAGGATATAAGAAAACCTCCAAGCATGGCAGTGATCTTCTCAAACGAGGACTTCTTCCAGAGATTAAAGGGAAGTCCCACCAATTTGATAGCAAAGGGACCATCCCTCAATTCCTTGCTATTACAGGATGTAGTCCAGCTCCAGACAAAGGTTACACCCAGTTCAGATTCAACAGTGAAAATGTCCACCGCTTTATCTATGCCAGTCAGAAGGGAGCACCTGTCGTCAAAAGGAAAAACAGAGACTTCAACATCAACTTTGAGTTTCTTCTTAATTTCTTCCACGATAACTCCCCAGTCATTCACCCCCATCTCTTCTTTCCATACCAAAGATTTTTCCTTACCATCTTTGTTTTCCTGTAAGAACAGCTTCTGTATTCTGTTGGATTTCATTAGTGCAAAATCTTGCACCTTTTCCACTTGCATGCCTTCCATTGACCCTTCTTTGCTGGTCCCAGTGATGCTCAAGATTTCTATCGACTTTTCTTTGAGTATTCTTGAGCCCTTCCATTCTATGCAGCATTGCCTCAAACCATCCTCTTCCTTCTTTAACAGAAAGCCCTTTAGCTTTTCCCCCACCATCATCCTTCCCCGACCCCTCTTCCCTTCTAGGAAGCAGACTAGTTGCTGCTTATTATTACCATAAAATTCTGAAACTGCCACAAACCACCCCTTTTGATTACATCGCAGCTCGACCTGGTATCTCCTTCTGTTCATTTCCAGAGAGCTCTTCCAAGCCATTTTCTTGACAGAGAGCACCACCCCATCGATAAATCCTTTCAGCCATTGTGTAGCTTCGCCAATTAGGTAAATACTTGATCTTCCTGCTTCCCTGATTTTCAACGAGATTTGTCCTTTGTATTTTCCTTCAGTAGTAGCTTCTTTGCTTCAATCACCATTTCCTCTCTCCATCTTGCGGCAAGGCAGAATAATCTCTCATCACTTTGCACTTCACACTTCTGCTCACTTCGCTCCATTTCAGCTCCACTGCTTTGGTAGTAGCTGAGACTGCTGACATGGCATGCCTTGTTTTATTTTATTTTACAAACACATACATATTTTATATATATTTATATATATATATATGTATATGTATGTATGTATGTATGTATGTATATACACATTGATAAGTAACAAGAAAATTTTATTTAAAAAGAAAATACTGAATGCAACCTAATGGCAGGTCACGTGTTAACACCCCCAAACCCAGCAACTCCTACTAACCGCCTAGAATGGGAAAACGGGAAGAGAAAACAGTATATGAAACCACTCTTGCACACCAACTGCAATGCCAACAAAGCAACTAATAGGCTCAAATCAATCTTCCACCTCACCAAACTCTTCCAGGCCTCCTTCATCCCAAATTTCTCCCCCTAATGCTTCAGAAGCCTTTCTCAAGTTTTCTTCCTTCCTCTTCCTCTCGAACAATTCAAAAGTTCTTCTAGCAAAGCTTTCTCCTCCTAAGAAAAACAAGCCTAAAGACTTGCCAATTTCCACCTATTTATCAACTAGTCTTCAAGTCCACTCTTCCTTTCTTCATTTCCCTTTCCTCCGGCATCACCTCAACAGAAACCTCTTCCAAAACAGTTCCATCCCTACTAGCTTTCTCTGACAAGTCAGACTTTGTCGACTCCTCCCATTAAGAATCAACCGGAGGAATGCAACTTTCCAGCCCCTTCGGATAAAAGTGAAAATTCTGTACAAGGTTTCTCAAGACTCTGAGTTCTGAGTTTTACCCCTCTTCTTTTATAGATCCTTTTATACTTATTGGTCGGCCCAACTCCCACCAGACCATCTTTTAACCTTGAAAAGACCTTCATAACATGAACAACATTGAGCTTGCTTGAAGCTCTGGACTTCTTTGGAGTCTCCAAAACATCACCGCTTCTAGCCAAACTAGTATCTTTGCCCTTTCAGCCCAAATCAACTCCTAGTCTTTCAACAACCACTTCAGATACCAAATAATTGGAATCATTCCCAAGAAGAGCATCTTGATTTAAATTTTTTAAGTCATTCACCTTCTCACCCACACCTTCACCTTCTTCTAAGCTGCCTCCTTCCTTATCGCCTCCCTCCTCCCA